CCAGCTGTTGCTGCACCATGGTCAGCTGTTGCTGCACCACGGTCAGCTGTTGCTGGACCAGTCAGCTGTTGCTGCACCATGGTCAGCTGTTGTTGGACCAGTCAGCTGTTGCTGCACCACAGTCAGCTGTTGCTGGACCAGTCAGGGGTTCTTAAATGGAGATATCGAGGGTTGAAGGTAGACACACTTGTTGGATGGTAACGATATATTGTCAGACTGTGATGATGGGAAATGGAGCCCAGCCTCTGCCTGTCCTAGCCTGGATGTCTAACGCCGACTGAGACCGAGGCAGAGGTACGAGCGTACACATGCGCATCCCGTGACTTCACACAAAGTCACAGGCCTAAAAGGTATCTCCTGTCTAAAGCACATGGATGGTACTTATATGCTATACAACACAAGGATCAGCAACTATGCTGACAGCTGCACCACGGTTTCTATAATATATATACAGTGGACCCTCGACCAGCGATATTAATCCATTCCTGAGAGCTCATCGTTATTCGAAATTATCATTAGTCGAGTTAATTTTCCCCATAAGAAATAATGGAAATCAATTTAATCCGTGCAAGACACCCAAAAGTATTGAAAAAAAAATTTTACCACATGAAATATTAATTTTAATACACACAAACTGAAGAAGACATGCACAGTTACATGACACTTACCTTTATTGAAGATCTGGTGATGATTGATGGGATGGGAGGAGGGGAGAGTGTCAAACTTATTGTTTAGAAGGGGAATCCCCTTCCATTAGGACTTGAGGTAGCAAGTCTTTTTCCGGGGTTACTTCCCTTGTTCTTTTAATGCCACTAGGACCAGCTTGAGAGTCACTGGACTTCTGTCTCACAACATATCTGTCCATAGAGGCCTGTACCTCCCGTTCCTTTATGACATTTCTAAAGTGTTTCACAACATTGTCAGTGTACAGGTTGCCAACATGGCTTGCAGTAGCTATGTCAGGGTGATTTTCATCCATAAAGGTTTGCACTTTAAGCCACATTGCACAGATTTCCTTAATCTTTGAAGTAGGCAATTTCTTCAATTTCTCTATCCCCTCCTCCGAAGCAGTTTCCTCAGGTGTGGCCTCATGCTGATGAAGATGATCTAGCAGGTCATCAGTGGTTAGTTCTTCATTGTCCTCCACCACCAACTCTTCCACATCCTCCTCACTAACCTCCAACCTCAAGGACTTCCCCAATGCCACAATGGATTTCTCAACTGGCATAGGATTCTCAGGGTTAGCCTCAAACCCTTCAAAATCCCTTTTGTCTACACATTCTGGCCATAGTTTTTTTCCACGCAGAGTTCAAGGTCCTCTTAGTCACTTTCTCCCAAGCCTTACCTATAAGGTTTACACAATTGAGGATGCTAAAGTGATCTTTCCAAAACTCTCTTAGAGTCAGTTGAGTTTCTGAGGTCACTACAAAGCACCTTTCAAACAGAGCTTTTGTGTACAGTTTCTTGAAGTTGGAAATGACCTGCTGGTCCATGGGCTGCAGGAGAGGAGTGGTATTAGGAGGCAAAAACTTCACCTTAATGAAGCTCATGTCCCTAGAAAGTTGCTCTGCCAAGTCTGAAGGATGACCAGGAGGCACTTAAGGTCTAATTTCTTTTCAATTAGGTAATTTTTCACATTGGGCCAAATGCATGGTGTAACCAGTCATAGAAAAAGTCCCTAGTGACCCATGCCTTACTGTTTGCCCTGCACAGCACACACAAATTAGCCTTGAGGATATTCTTTTGCCTGAACACTCTGGGAGTTTCAGAGTGATACACCAATAAAGGCTTCACTTTGCAATCACCACTAGCATTGGCACACATCAACAGAGTAAGCCTGTCTTTCATAGGCTTATGTACTGGGAGTGCTTTTTCCTCCTGAGTAATGTAGGTCCTGCTTGGCATTTTCTTCCAAAACAGGCCTGTTTCGTCACAATTAAACAATTGTTCAGGTTTCAGTCCTTCACTGTCTATGTACTCCTTGAATTCATGCACATATTTTTCAGCCGCTTTGTGGTCCGAACTGGCAGCCTCACCATGCCTTATCACACTATGTATGCCACTACCCTTCTTAAATCTCTCAAACCAACCTTTGCTGGCCTTAAATTCACTCACATCATCACTAGTTGCTGGCATTTTTTTAATTAACCCTTAAATGGTCCAAACGTATATATACATTTTTTCAACATCTGAAAGTATTTAAAAAAATGTAGATCTTTTTTTTTGTTTTACATTTGAAAATGTGTAAAAAAAACTTTTATCTACATTTTTTTTTGTTACATTTGAAAATATGTAAAAAAAAGTAGATCTACTTTTGTAGCTACGAATTTGAACGTTGATTTGTTTGGACCGTTTAAGGGTTAAATCGTCATGCAACTTCCTAGCCTTTTCACATATGATCACTTGAGAGATGCTATCTCCTGCTATCTGTTTTTCGTTTATCCACACCAATAAGAGTCTCTCAACATCTTCTATCACTTGCGATCTCAGTTTCGAAAACATAGTTGCACCTTTGGCAAGAACAGCTTCCTTGATTGCCGTTTTCTTGCCCACAATAGTAGCGATGGTTGATTGGGGTTTACTATACAACCTGACCAGCTCGGAGACACGCACTCCACTTTCATACTTAGCAATGATCTCTTTCTTCATCTCCATAGTAATTCTCACCCTTTTTGCTGTAGGGTTGGCACTAGAAGCTTTCTTGGGGCCCATGGTGACTTATATTGCAGGTGCAATCACTACAAAGGCTGTGATAATATGAAATGTTCCAATTGTATGTTTGGAAGCAACAGCGGTGGGTGGCTGGCTGGCTTGTAAACACTGGCACCCATGGGACAAGTGAGGCGTGCTCAGGCCAAAGTGGACGCGTCTCGAATGGAACGAATAGCGTTGGTCGGGTTTTTAAGCGCTAGTCGAGGCAAAAATTTTGCGCTAAAATGTATTGCTAGTTGGATTTATCGTTAATCGATGCCATCGCTTTTCGAGGGTCCACTGTACACATATACAGTCAGTAGATACTTTCATATAACTGCCATTATCTTCATTCATCAAGCTTGTCTTGTGTGTGAGTGTGTGGCTTATAATTGTTTTGAGTCAGGAGTCGGCAGCTGTCAAAATGACATATTATCTCATTACTCACTCCCCCTACTGCCTGTCAAAACAGTGGGGTCGGAATTCTATCTAATTATCTTTCTCCCTCATTCTCTTTCAATCTGTCTCTCTCTATCTGTCTATCTATGTCTCACAGGTACACATAAATACAAATATACATAGTGTAAATTACCTAGGATAACCAAAAAAATCCAGACAAAGTGCTATACTCTGCTTGAAGATGTGAGTAAACATGATGACACAGTCTTGTGGCTCTCTCTGAGACAGAGCTAGACAGATAGACAGGGAGCTTGACAGACAGACAAATAGACAGACAGAAATGTTTCTGTACCAGCAAAAACAAAGGGAGGGCGATGGTCATCTAATCTTTTCTTATCAGCTGCACCCTCCCTCCACCCTCGTTTACACTCATCAAACGTCAGCTCTTATCAGATGTTATCTCCCCTTATCTTGTCACTGTCATGGGGTGGACTTTTTTTTTCTTGCTTCAAGGAAACAATATTATTACATCTTCTTCTTCTTCTTCTTCTTCTTCTTCTTCTTCGTCTTCTTCTTCTTCTTCTTCTTCTTCTTCTTCTTCTTCTTCTTCTTCTTCTTCTTCTTCTTCTTCTTCTTCTTCTTCTTCTTCTACTTCCTCCTCCTCTTCCTCTTCCTCTTCCTCTTCTCCTCTTTCTCTTCCTCTTCCTCTTTCTCTTCCTCTTTCTCCTCCTCTTTCTCTTCCTCTTCTCCTCTTCCTCCTCCTCCTCTTTCTCCTCTTCCTCCTCTTCTTCCTCCTCCTCCTCCTCTTCTTCCTCCTCCTCCTCCATTGCTTTTGGTCTCAAACTCCTCGACATCATGAAATTGATCTTCACTGACACTTCCATCTGTGTTAGAGCATCACTTGGCAAGAGAAGAGTCCCAGATTTGCTGGGGAGTCACAAATTTCTTACTGCTAAGCATGCTGAAAAAGGACGACTGAAATGGCATTCCCACAATGCACCACTGGCTCCTCGATTTTTTTATATGGTGCACACTGACCATGAAGACCCATTCTCTCACATGTGGGCCTACCAACTTTCTCCTGCTTGATCTGAAGCTGCTAGAATTATGCGTAAACAGTCAAAGGGTTAATCTTGTCCCCCAGGATGCGACCCACAACAGTTGACTAACACCCAGGTGAACAGGAAAAAATGCCTGGAACTAATGCTCATATTGGTGAATTTAAGGCCAGCAAAGGTTGGTTTGAGAGATTTAAGAATTGTAGTGGCATACACAGTGTGATAAGGCATGGTGAAGCTGAAAAATTCCAACCCCAACAAGTGTTCAATTGTGACAAAACAGGCCTGTTCTGGAAGACAATGCCAAACAGGACCTACATTACTCAGGAGGAAAAGGCACTCTCAGGACATAAGCCATTAGGACTTGACACCTCAAGTCCTAATAGAAGGGGATTCCCCTTCTAAACACTAACACCATCCACACTCTCCCATCCAATCAATCATCACCAGATCTTCAATAAAGGTAAGTGTCATGTAATTGTACATGTCTTCTTCAGTATGTGTGTATTAAAATTAATATTTCATATGGTAATTTTTTTTTTCATACTTTTGGGTGTCTTGCACGGATTAATTTGATTTCCATTATTTCTTATGGGGAAAATTAACTTGACTAACAATAATTTTGACTAGCGATGAGCTCTCAGGAATGGATTAATATCGTTGGTCGAGGGTCCACTGTATCTGAAAACATTCACTTCTTCCATACTCCTCCTCCCCAATTTGATATCCAATTTTTCTTTATCTAAATCATTTGATACTCTCATCACCTTTTATTTTTATTTATTTTTTTCTGTTATTCTTGTTATGGTATTCCAAGTAATCACTGAGTTATATTTATATGTATATTTACAGGTGGAAGCGAGATGCTGCTCCATGAAGCAGGCTATGATGCCTACCTAACTGGTGGCTGTTTCCTCCATATGGCTCACCTTCATGCCATGCTCCAAATACCTTCGTAAATATTCCACTTTTCGTCATCTGTGATTGTTTTTAACCCTTTCAGGGTCCAGAGGCCAAATTTCAAAGTGCGCACCAGTGTCCAAGAATTTTCAAAAAATAATTTTTGTTATTTTTCTTATGAAATTGTAGAGAATCTTTTTCTGAAGGTAATAAAACAAAAAGTACGAAATTTGATGGAAAATTGACAAAATTATGCTCTCGCGAATTTTGATGTGTCAGCGATATTTACACATCGGAGATTTTTCCGACTTTGACTCCCATTTTAGGCCACTTACCTTATTCCAGTCGACCAAATTCTTAGCTATTTCACTAGTATTACTTCTATTCTATCGACTGAGCACAAGAAATCACCATCTCAACTGATGCAACTACAAAATAAAGTGATTGGAAATTGGTAATTTGGCCAGTTTAATGCAAAGTTCAGAATAATCCAGTTTCAAAATAGTGCCCAGAATAAACAATGCAGACATTCCTGGCACTAAACTAACATTTCCTCTGTTCATTAGTTACGTTTTGAGGCTTTACTAATGAATTCCATTTTGATTTTTTATTCACATAATGAATTTTTATTCAAACCAAAAAATAGAAGATTTACTGTCATGCAATATTGTAATAATTGTATAAATAATATCAGTACATTTGTGAACGTATATTAGACCCACTAGCTGGTGTGTGTATTAGACGTGTGAGGTCATTTGTTTACTCTTGAACATCGGCAAAAATTTAACATTTCAACTATTTTGAACTCAGTTTCAAGCCATTTTCAGCACTAAAACCAATCAAAATCATCTCTATTTTTGTAATATGTCTTCCATTCTATCAAATGAGACCAAGAAATCACAAATACAACTATAAAAAGAATATGAAAAAACACTGCAAAGTTACTGTTTTAATTGAAAATTACGGTCTCAGTTTTCTTTCTCTCATTGTGCACTGTGCTGCAGGATTTGTTTTATGTGGTGCACACATACCACATAGATGTATTCTCTCATATCTAGGCCCAAATTTACCACTCACAGCTTATCAGAGTGAGCTGAGCTCATGGCGTAGATCTACGGTTTGTTGAAAAGGGGTTCGTGGAGATTTGATGGTTAGAGTTAAACGCACTTGTTAGATGGTAACACATATATTGGCAGAGTGTGAAGGGAGGAGCCCAGCCTGCCTGGTGTTGCTTGGTAGGTCCAACGGGAACTGAGACCTAGGGCCGGGAGCGTAGCGCTCACATCGGCATCACGTGACATCACACAAACTAGTCACTGGGCCTAGCAAGGGGTTGTGTATGTAAAACATATGGATGGTACTAACTATGATGATAAATTAGACAGATGTGCAACTCTTGGGTATCTTTATTAAGGAAACGTTTCGCCACACAGTGGCTTCATCAGTCCATACAAAGGAGAAGCTTGAAGAACAGGAGTAGAATGAGGTAATCAGTCCCTCAACCTTGAGTCGATGTGGTCAGTCCATCAATCTTGAATAGAATACGGCATACATGCAGAGAAGAAGCTTATAAACCGTAGGCAGGAGAGGTGCAGCAGTCATAGGTGGTGTCACATTTGTTCAGTGTGGAAGTAGGTTGTGCCCAAGAATGAGGCAAGCGTAGGATTCCCAAGTATTAAGATCCCAAGAAGTTGCAGTGTCTGACAGGATTGTAGATGAATGGTTCACAGAGCCGACACGTTAATAAATTAGACACATGTGCAACTCTTGGGTATCTTTATTGAGGAAATGTTTCGCCACACAGTGTGACACCACCTGTGACTGCTGCACCTCTCCTGCCTATGGTTTATAAGCTCCTTCTCCGCACGTATCCCGTATTCTATTCAAGATTGATGGACTGACCACATCGACTCAAGGTTGAGGGACTGATTACCTCATTCTACTCCTGTTCTTCAAGCTTCTCCTTTGTATGGACTGATGAAGCCACTGTGTGGCGAAACGTTTCCTTAATAAAGATACCCAAGAGTTGCACATGTGTCTAATTTATCAACGTGTCGGTTCTGTGAACCATTCATCCACTAACTATGATACTCAGATAACATATACATATATGTACAGGAGATCAGCAACTATGCTGACATAGATCTACGGTTTGGACCCTCAACGTAAAGCCGTAGATCTACAGCACGGACCCTGAAAGGGTTAAGCAAGTGTATTTAGGAATATTTCAACCTATTTCTAATTACTGTATACCTGGAGAGTATACCTAGAGAGAGTTTCAGGGGTCAGCGCCCCTGCGGCCTGGTCTGTGACCAGTTGTTGTTACAGGGATGGTGCTAGGCTTGCTTTTATGTGATTAATGTACTTTTTGTAGTTAAGATTTTCTTTCATATTATTATTATTATTACTGTTATTCTTCTTCTTCTTCTTCTTTCAACAAACCGGCCATATCCCACCGAGGCAGGGTGGCCCAAAAAGAAAAACAAAAGTTTCTCATTTTAAATTTAGTAATTTATGTAGGAGAAGAGGTTACTAGTCCCTTGCTCCCGACATTTTAGTCGCCTCTTACAACACAAATGGCTTACGGAGGAAGAATTCTGTTCCACTTCCCCATGGAGGTAAGAGGAAATAAACAAGAACAAGAACTAGAAAGAAAATAGCTGAAAACCTAGAGGGGTGTGTATATATACGCTTATACAGTGGTCCCTCGTTTTTCATAATTAATCCGTTCCTGGAGGAGCTACTATAAATGAAATTTACGATTTACGAATCAGTTTTCCCCATAAGAAATAATGTAAATACAATTAATCCGTTCCTGACACCCAGAAGTATTAAAACAGAAATTTTCTTTACATGAAATATTCATATAGTACATAAACAATACAATGAGACATGATGAATGAAACATTAACAGCATAACACTTACCTTTATTGGCGATTCTTCTTAGTGTATGGGAGACTGGAGGAGGAGAGAGATTGGATGATTTACAGTTTGGAAGGGGAATCCCCTTCCAGCAACACCTCAGGTACCGATTGCTTCTCTGGGGTTACAGTGGACCCCCGCATACCGTTGGCCTTACATAACGTTAAGTCTGCATTCCGCTACATTTTATCGCTAAGATTTTGCCTCGCATACCGCTAAAAAACCCGCTCAATGCTGTTCGTCCGAGACGCGTCTATGTGCAGCCTGAGCCACGCTCACATGTTCTGCCGGTGGCATTGTTTACCAGCCAGCCTCCGCGGTAACATCCAAGCATACAATCGGAACATTTCATATTATTACAGTGTTTTTGGTGATTTTATCTGCAAAATAAGTGACCATGGGCCCCAAGAAAGCTTCTAGTGCCAACCCTACAGCAATAAGGGCGAGAATTACTATAGAGATGAAGAAAAAGATCATTGATAAGTATGAAAGTGGAGTGCGTGTCTCCGAGCTGGCCAGGTTGTATAATAAACCCCAATCAACCATCGCTACTATTGGTGGTACAGCTGCTGCTGCTGCTGTACCACCGTCAGCTGCTGCTGCTGCTGCACTGTCAGCTGCTGCTGCTGCTGTAGCACCATCAGCTGCTGCTGCTGCTGTAGCACCATCAGCTGCTGCTGCTGTTGTACCACCGTCAGCTGCTGCTGCTGCTGCTGTAGTACCGTCTGCTGCTGCTGTAGTACCGTCTGCTGCTGCTGTAGCATTGTCTGCTGCTGCTGTAGCACTGTCAGCTGCTGCTGCTGCTGTACCACTGTCAGCTGCTGCTGTAGTACCGTCTGCTGCTGCTGTAGCATCGTCTGCTGCTGCTGTAGCACTGTCAGCTGCTGCTGCTGCTGTAGCACTGTCAGCTGCTGCTGCTGCTGTACCACCGTCAGCTGCTGCTGCTGCTGCTGTAGTACCGTCTGCTGCTGTTGTAGCATCGTCTGCTGCTGCTGTAGCACTGTCAGCTGCTGCTGCTGCTGTACCACCGTCAGCTGCTGTTGCTGCTGTAGTACCGTCTGCTGCTGCTGTAGCATCGTCTGCTGCTGCTGTAGCACTGTCAGCTGCTGCTGCTGCTGCTGTAGCACCGTTGTTGGTGTGGCTTATTGAGAATACCAAGAAACAATTAACCCCAGAGGGTTAGCCACCCAGGATAACCCAAAAAAGTCAGTGTCATCGAAGACTGTCTAACTTATTTCCATTGGGGTCCTTAATCTTGTCTCCCAGGATGCAACCCACACCAGTCGACTAACACCCAGGTGAACAGGGAAAAATGCCTGGAACTAGTGCTCATATTGGTGAATTTAAAGCCAGCAAAGGTTGGTTTGAGAGATTTAAGAATTGTAGTGGCATACACAGTGTGATAAGGCCTGTTCTGGAAGAAAATGCCAAACAGGACCTACAGTACTCAGGAGGAAAAGGCACTCCCAGGACACAGTGTCTCATCAGTCATTGCTGCATCTTCAATAAAGGTGTCATTTATTCTTCATTTAGTAGACTAGTACATGCACAATATATATTGTGCATGTACTACTCTACTATTGTGCATGTATCCTTCTCTTTGTGTGTAGGAAAATGTATATTTCATGTGGTAAATTTTTTTTTTCATACTTTTGGGTGTCTTGCACGGATTAATTTGATTTCCATTATTTCTTATGGGGAAAATTCATTCGCATAACGATAATTTCGCATAACAATGAGCTCTCTTGCACGGATTAATATCGCTATGCAGGGGTCCACTGTACTTCTCTTCTCTGTTTCTTAATGCCACTAGGACCACCTTGAGAGTCACTGGAGTCCTGTCTCACAAAGTAACTGTGGAGAGAACTCTGTTTCTGGCGTCTCTTTAACACTTCCCTAAAATGGCCCAAGACTTTGTCACTGTACATATTTCTCACCTTCTTTACCACAGGCTTGGCACTAGGAGCTTTCTTTGAGCCATGGTAGCTTATTTAGTACTTGCAAGCACTAAAATGAGTGGAATATTATGAAATATTTCGTAGGAGCACTTGAGAGGACCTTCACTCACTGGTAAACAATGCCAGACTGGCTGGGTAGGGAGGCCGCCCCGGCTCACACCGTGCGTACGCGTCCTGGACGAACTACTATTCGCAAGTCAACCTATGAAAAGCGAGTCCATGTTTATACGAAAATACCCCTATGATTGGCGAAATTTGCGATTGCCGAGAACTACGAAAAGCGAGGGACCACTGTATATGTATGTGTAGTGTGACCTAAGTGTAAGTAGAAGTAGCAAGACGTACCTGAAATCTTGCATTTGTATGAGACAGAAAAAAAAGACACCAGCAATCCTACCATCATGTAAAACAATTACAGGCTTTCGTTTTACATTCACTTGGCAGGACGGTAGTACCTCCCTGGGCGGTTGCTGTCTACCAACCTACTACCTACAATTATTATTATTATTATTATTATTATTATTATTATTATTATTATTATTATTATTATTATTATTATTATTAACACATTGGCCATTTCCCACCAAGGCAGGATGGTCCGAAAAAGAAAAACTTTCATCATCATTCACTCCATCACTGTCTTGCCAGAGGCACGCTTACACTACAGTTATAAAACTGCAACATTACTACCCCTCCTTCAGAGTGCCGGCACTGTACTTTCCACCTCCAGGACTCAAGTCTGACCTGCCGGTTTTTCTGAATCCCTTCATAAATGTTACCTTACTCACATAAAGTTTGTTAGTTTATAGCTGGTCAGTAGCACCGTGCCAGTTCCACCTCAAGTGTGTAAACTCTGCAAATTTTCCTCAGGTTGCAGCATCGACCTATGAGCCCCCGGGAGCATGTCTTTGCCCTCAAGAACCTAGCCAACCAAGTGCAGATACAGAGGGCGGCAGTTCGTTGTGTGGTAAGGACGCTCTTTTGAGTTCACCATTTTTTTTGCGTTTTGTAAATAAGATACAGCTGGCAGAAGCTGGTCTTACTGTGACAGATGGAGGCCACTGAGGGGCTCTTGATCCAAGGAATTCGAGCTGTCCTTCCCTTGAATGAAATGTGATTGTGCTTCCCATTCCCAGGTGCTGTATTACCCCCTTTGGGTTTAGTGCTTTGCTATTAATCTACTACTACTAATAATAATAATACAGTGGACCCCCAGTTAACGATATTTTTTCACTCCATAAGTATGTTCAGGTGCCAGTACTGACCGAATTTATTCCCATAAGGAATATTGTGAAGTAGATTAGTCCATTTCAGACCCCCAAACATACACGTACAAACGCACTTACATAAATACACTTACATAATTGGTCGCATTCGGAGGTAATCGTTATGCGGGGGTCCACTGTAATAGAGTAATAATAATAATAATAATGAAAGAGATACTTGTGCAACACTTGAGTATCTTCATTGTGGTAATGTTTTGCCAGACAGTGACTTGGAAGATGAGGAGGATTTTGAGGTGATGAGTCCCTCAGCCTGGAGGTGATGTGTTCAGTCCAGGCTGAGGGACTGAGTACCTCAAATTCCTCCTCATCTACTATTTTTCTCAATATTGGACTGAAGAAGCCACTGGCTGGCACAAGTGTCCCATTTTCGACTTATCGGTTTTCGAAACCTATCACAGTAATAATAATAATAATAATGATTATCAGAATTCATATCCAGCCTGTGTCATTATTATATAGTCATTTATTACATTTTAATGTCTAGGACTGTATTGTTTGTTATTAATTAATTGTGTGAAAAAGTAACACAAAATATTAAAATAAAAAGGAAAAGAGGAAGTATATTAACCATCATTCATTTAATCACTGTGTTATCTGATGTGTGTTGATATCACAGTTCAGACTACCTTCCAGACTTCAACAATCTCACTCCTCCTCTAGAGTGCAGGCACTGCACATTCCACCTCCATGACTCAAGTTCAGCAAGTGTATTTAACCTGAGTGTCCTGATATATGTTACCTTGCTAACACTCTAACAGCACATCAGGTCACAAAACTGCTTGCCTCCACTCACTCTGATTTAACACACTCACACAGGCCTATTGGATGTTCAACCCCATAGCACTCAAAACCTCCTGTATCCCCTCCCTCCAACCCTTCCTGGGATGACCCGTATGCCTCTCTGTTTATTATAATATTTTTACAAATAGGATTTCATTATATAGAACATATTTTTTTTTTTTAGTACACCGGCCATCTCCCACTGAGGCAGAGTGACCCGAAAGAGAAGAATTTTTTTTTTTTTTTTACATTGAGTAATTTATACGAGAGAAAGGGTTACTCCCGGTATCTTAGTCGCCTTGAAAAGAATCCTTTCTCTGTAAGCCATGTGTGTCTTAAGAGGCAACTAAAATGCTAGTAACCCCTTCTTCTGTATGAATTACTAAATTTAAAAAGAAAAACCTTATAAAGTTGTGTCTTCTGTTTTTTGGGTCACACTGCCTCGGTAGGAAACGACCAGCTTATTAAAAAAAGTGCTTTTGAGGATCTCTCTACCTTGAGTATTTTGTGCCAACTGTTTAACATTTTGTAAGGTGTTATTATGCATTTATTTTCTTAATATGCACTTAATTGTTACTAGATAGTGTGGTTACTAATATGGCAGAGGATCATGTAAGTTGTAATGTCTGCAGACTTCTGGCAATACAGCTGTGGAGTGAATAATGGTGAATGTGTTTTCTTCTTTGGATCACTCTACATTGGTGAGAAGTCGCTGATGTAGTAAAAAAAAGTGCTTTGTTTTTATATAATCTTAGTTTTCTGCATAAACCTAACCTCAGGCACTGAATGGTCCAGATCCACCCTTGAAGCGACCTCCCTGGCTGGTAGTTGAAGGTCGCAGTAGGTCAATGAGAGTGACCCCTGGGATGGTCTCTCTGGCTCTGGCACAGTACGGGAACCCCGATGTAATCCCTCGCAACAACAACTCGGTCCTAGTTGCTACAACCTCGTGGAAATGGTGAGAGGTCACACACAGCTCCTGACCGGAAAATAGGTTTAATGATTAGAGTTGGTGAAGAATGAGACACTTGTGAAACATTGGGGCATCTTTACTGAGGAAATGATTTGTCCGCCAGCGGCTTCTTCAGTCCATTACAGAGAAGAATGGTGGAAGATTAAAGGAGTTTGAGGTAATCAGTCCCCCAGCCTGGAAAAGATGTGTTCGGTCCATCAGTCTTAATAATTTGCTTAGACTGTACACATGGACTCCTAGTGAAACATATCCTCAATAAAGATTCCCAAATATTTCACATGTGTCTCATTCTTCAACTTGTCAGTTTTATAAACCTTTTGCATCACAAAAAAGTTGCTGTTAAGCACCATTGGGTGAAGGTTTTACCATTTGACCCCATTAAGTGATATCAGTTTCCCCAAATGGACTTCAATGGGAAACTGACTTCAGAAGTGATTCCACCCAAGAAAACTCTCTCCCAGTTAAAGATATCAACGAATTTTTTTTTTTTGTATCGGCTATGCTGGATATTCATTAGTATTTTCAGCTTTTCAGTGTAACTCATTTAGTTCTGGGAGTCATTCTGTAGCTCTTCTTTGCATTTTTTTATCTTGTGTATGTGTTTTTTAAAAGTGTAAGTGCCACATAGCTATTGAATATTTTATTTTTTGGCCTATCATGTATGTATTGCAATCCATTTTTTAGCACGAAATATGTGTTTGGGTCACCCTGCCTCGGTGGGAAACATCTGACGTGTTAAATAAAAAAATGTATGCATGAATGTGCTGTATTGTACATACATGTATGTATATTAACATATCTGCACATTGTGTATAGATGAAAAGATAGTGATGAATCGTATTTTATGTATGGTGTATAGCTGACTCATGAAATCATAACAACTGCAAACAAACCATGGTATGGGTGGGGTTTGAACTCACAGCCATGAGTTCAAGCCCCACCCATACCATGGTTTTCTTAGGGTGTATAAGTTAAAAGATAGTGATGAATAATATTGTGTACAGTTTATTGATAAATAGATGACAATAAATCATATTTTATTATGTACTTTATATATATGAAGGAGGGGTGTTAATGTTGCAGTTTTATAACTAGTGTAAGCGTGCCTCTGGCAAGACAGTGGTTGAGTGAATGATGGTGAAAGTGTTTCTTTTTCGGGATGCTCTAGCTCAATGGGAGACAGCCAGTGTGTTAAAAAAAAGAATATTTTAATAGATATTAATGAATCATTTATTTTTTGTTACTTTTGAATTTTTGTCAACAGCACCAGAGATATCTTGACTGATCTTGCTGAGGACAGATACATGAAAGCTCAACTCTACAAGAAGCTAAGACATTCACCGCTTGTAAGGTCCCTTGCTTGGTACGTATCTGTACACCTCTAAGCTTACTTCATCCTTCATGGGAGGGGGTCTTGATGTTTGTGGAGGGCCCTTGATGCAAGAAATTCAAGCTACCCTTCCCTTCCTTAACTCAAGCCTAATCACCTCCCATTTCCTATGTTCTATATGACCCTTACTGGTTTAACTTTTCTCACGAATGTTGTAATAAAAAAAATGCATATCTCAAAATATTAAGCCTTGATGTGATAGGATATTTTATATGTTATTAGTCAGTTTTGCAGTCACAGTCAGGAATCATGAGTAGATAAATAATTACCTATGACACAGACACCCCTCACATAGGAGAGAGAATCACAGGGCAATGTTTCGGTCTGACTTGGACCATTTACAATGGTCCAGTCTAAATGGTTAAAGTCAAACTGAAATGTCATCCTGGGCTTCTCTCTCCTATGTATGGGTTGTTTGTGTGTTGTTCCAGTCACAGTATTGTGCCTTTTTCTTCTCTAAATACTGTAATTTCCAGCACATAAGACGCACATAAGTTCGTATCCCGAGGTTCCACAGTATTTGGCTAAACTGTAGCCAAGAGTAATAAAACTCCTAAATTATAAAAATATGAATCTGCTACTGTAAATAGCTAGCCAAAATTTATACTTGAGGATCCAACTTACAAACCCAGTTTGTTTCTGGGGATTTAATTTAGATGATCTTCGTTCCTGCTTTTTACCCTCTTATAAGCAGGATGTTCTCTTTGTTTCTTTAAACAAGTTGTGCTCCTTGTGTTTTGGCTGACAAATCAAGTTGTCATTTTTTTCAATTTACAATCAAGTTACTTTGCTGGTGTTTTAATTTACAAATAAGTTACATTTTGATGTTTCAACTTACAAACAAGTTATATTACTGGTGTTTCAACTTACAAACAAGTTACATTCCTGGTGTTTCAACTTACAAACAAGTTACATTCCTGGTGTTTCAACTTACAAACAAGTTACATTCCTGGTGTTTCAACTTACAAACAAGTTACATTCCTGGTGTTTCAACTTACAAACAAGTTACATTCCTGGTGTTTCAACTTACAAACAAGTTATATTACTGGTGTTTCAACTTACAAACAAGCTACATTCCTGGTGTTTCAACTTACAAACAAGTTATATTATTGGTGTTTCAACTTACAAGTTACATTCCTGGTGTTTCAACTTACAAACAAGTTATATTATTGGTGTTTCAACTTACAAGTTACATTCCTGGTGTTTCAACTTACAAACAAGTTATATTATTGGTGTTTCAACTTACAAACAAGTTACATTCCTGGTGTTTCAACTTACAAACAAGCTACATTCCTGGTGTTTCAACTTACAAACAAGCTACATTCCTGGTGTTTCAACTTACAAACAAGCTACATTCCTGGTGTTTCACCTTACAAACAAGTTATATTATTGGTGTTTCAACTTACAAGTTACATTCCTGGTGTTTCAACTTACAAACAAGTTATATTACTGGTGTTTCAACTTAAAGTTGTTTGTATAGAAAACAGTGGTACAAAGGATGATTGTTGAACATGTGTTTATACTAAGTATTAGCAGTTGTAAAAAATGTTACTGGGTCCTAAGTGAGGGACATTTGTAATTTGGAGAGCCTCCTGTATATACAGTGGACCCCCGGTTAACGATATTTTTTCACTCCAGAAGTATGTTCAGGTGCCAGTACTGGCCGAATTTGTTCCCATAAGAAATATTGTGAAGTAGATTAGTCCATTTCAGACCCCCAAACATACACGTACAAACGCACTTACATAAATACACTTACATAATTGGTCGCATTCGGAGGTAATCTTTATGCGGGGGTCCACTGTATATAAAAAACTGTTTAGTGTCGGAAGACATTAGAGTAAATTACTTGGCAACTTGTTATTTAAATTATAACATACGTATTTGAGATGCACCATTGCCTGGTCACAGACTGGGCCGCGGGGGCGCTAATCCCCGAAATCCTCTCCAGGTATACTCCATGTATTTGACATATTTGGTAATAAGCACATAATGATAGTAAATGGTGCGATTATTTTTTTAGTAATAATGATTATTTCTGTTTCTCCAAAAGGTCTGGTGTCGTAATGTCGACTGGGTTAAGTGTGTGGATCGTGTATTCTACTCTCAGAAAGTCATCTTCATAGTCATCCGGTGTACTGTGGTGTTACCACTATGTAAATACATTGCATTTGGCAATCTTGTCTGGTTATCCTTGTCAATGTTATAAATATTTATAATATTTTTTATTTTTTCATTACAAGTCGGCCATCACTAATCCGGCAATCAGTTATGTGGCTCCATCAGTAATCCGGCACTGATTTAGGCTAGCATAATTTCAAATTTCATCATTATACTGACTCAAATTTCAATATTATACTGACTCAGAAATTGTGCAGATGGTTGTAAATTCACAGCAGCAGCAAGCCAGTGGAGGAGAAACCAATGATGAAAATGAGAGAGATGTAGCAGAAAGAGTCTATTGACAAGTTTATTAAGTGTATTTTAACCTAACCATTCTGTAATCCAGCAAACTCACTAATCCGGCACACTACAGGTCCCAATGATGCTGGATTAGTGATGGCTGACCTGTACCATCATTATATACACAGTACACACACATTTTTTTTACCTAACACTCGAATACTTCCCTAAGTCTTACTGCGTAGATGAGTCAAGTGATAGTAGTGAAGATGTTCCTATTTGTATAGTATGTATGCTTATGATGGAAAATTTATAATTTTGAGTAATAGAGTTGTAAGTGCACTACATGCACCTAGTTTTATATTTTGCAACTGATCCTATGACAGTGGATAAAGACAAGTACGTAGTTTGATGTGTGAGAAGAGGGAGCCAGGGGATGCCGATAGTGGCCAATAGTGCAGATAAATTTCATCTAGGAAGGTTCCTTGATACTGGTAAAGGGCTGTTGATCCAGAGAATAAGAGCTTCTCATTCCTTGGGTTATACCTGATTGCCTCTCTTTCCCTAAGGCTCTGTATGACCCTTGTGGATTTAGCACTTCCCCATGAAATAAATACAGTGGACCCCCGCAAAAGTTGGCATCGCATAATGTTAAATCCGCATAGCGATACATTTTATTGCTAAAATTTTGCCTCGCATAGTGCTAAAAAATTCGCTCAACGCGATTCGTCCGAGACACGTCCATGCGGCCTGAGCCAGCCTCACTTATTCTGCCAGTGGCATTGTATACAAGCCAGCCTCCGCGGTAACATTCAAGCATACAATCGGAACATTTCGTATTACTACAGCCTTTTTATAGTGATTTCACCTGAAAAATAGGTGACCATGGGCCCCAAGAAAGCTTCTAGTGCCAACCCTACAGGAATAAGGGTGAGAATTACTATGGAGATGAAGAAAGAGATCATTGCTAAGTATGAAAGTGGAGTGCGTGTCTCCGAGCTGGCCAGGTTGTATAGTAAACCCCAATCAACCATCGCTTCTATTGTGTCCAAGAGAACGGCAATCAAGGAAGCTGTTCTTGCCAAAGGTTTAACTGTGCTTTCAAAACAAAGATCGCAAGTGATAGAAGATGTTGAGAGACTGTTATTGGTGTGGATAAACGAAAAACAGATAGCAGGCGATAGCATCTCCCCAAGCGATCATAAGTGAAAAGGCTAGGAAGTTGCTGAGGATTAATTAGAAAAATGCCTGCAACTAGTGGTGATGCAAGTGAATTTAAGGCCAGCAAAAGGTTGGTTTGAAGATTTAAGGGGCCCATGGGTGGCATACATAGTGTGATAAGGCATGGTGAGGCTGCCAGTTCGGACCAAAAAGCAGCTGAAAAATATGTGCATGAATTCAAGGAGTACATAGACAGTGAAGGGGACTGAAACTGAACAAGTGTTTATTGTGACAAAACAGGCCTGTTTTGGAAGAAAATGCCAAGCAGGACCTACATTACTCAGGAGGAAAAGGCACTCCCAGGACAAAAACCCTATGAAAGACAGGCTTACTCTTCTCATGTGTGCCAATGCAAGGGGTGATTGCAAAGTGAAGCCTTTATTAGTGTATCACTCTGAAACTCCTAGAGCTTTCAGGCAAAGAATGTCTCAAGGCAATTTGGGGTGTGCTGTGGAGGGCAAAAAATTTAAGGCATGGGTCACTAGGGACTTTTCTATGACTGGTTACCCCAAGCATTTGCCCCACTGTGAAAAATTACCTAACTGAAAAGAAATTAGACCTTAAGTGCCTCCTGGTGTTAGACAATGCCCCTGGTCATCCTAAGACTTGGCAGAGCGACTTTATTGGGACATGAGCTTCATTAAGGTGAAGTTTTTGCCTCCTAATACCACTCCTCTCCTGCAGCCCATGGACCAGCAGGTTATTGCAAACTTCAAAAACTGTACACAAAGCTTGTTTGAAAGGTGCTTTTTAGTGACCTCAGAAACTCAATTGACTCTAAGAGAGTTTTGGAGGATCACTTTAATACCTCAATTGTGTAAACCTATAGGTAAGGCTTGGGGGGGAGTGACTAAGAGGACCTTTAACTCTGCATGGAAGAAAATGTGGCCAGAATGTGTAGACTAAAAGGATTCTGAAGGGGTTTTAGGCTAACCCTGAGAATCCTATCCAGTTGAGGAATCAGTTGTGGGCCCTTGGGAAAGTCCTTGGGGTTTGGGGGTTAGTGGGGAGGATGTGGAAGAGTTGGTGGAGGAGGACAATTTAAGAACTAACCACTGATGAGCTGCTAGATCATCTTCAACAGCAAGAGGCCACACCTGAGGAAACTGGTTCAGAGGAGGGGAGAGAGAAATTGAAGAAGTTGCCTACTTCAAAGATTAAGGAAATCTGTGCAAAGTGGCTTGAAGTGCAAACCTTCATGGATGAAAATCACCCTCAGACAGCTATTGCAAGCCGTGCTGGTGACTATTACACTGACACTGTTGTGAAACACTTTAGGAAAGTCATAAAGGAACGAGAGGTACAGGCCATTATGGACAGATATGTTGTGCGACAGAAGTCCAGTGACTCTGAAGCTGGTCCTAGTGGCATTAAAAGAAGGGAAGCAACCCCGGAAAAGGACTTGACACCTCAAGTCCTAATGGAAGGGGATTCCCCTTCTAAACACTAAAACCATCCAGTCTCCCCTCCTCCCATCCCATCAATCATCACCAGATCTTCAATAAAGGTAAGTGTCATATAACTGTGCATGTTTTCTTAAGTTTGTGTGTATTAAAATTAATATTTCATGTGGTAAATTTTTTTTTTTTTCATACTTTTGGGTGTCTTGCACGGATTAATTTGATTTCCATTATTTCTTATGGGGAAAATTAATTCGCATAACTATAATTTCGCATAACATTGAGCTCTCAGGAACGGATTAATAGCGTTATGTGGGGGTCCACTGTATATAGAAATATTAGAAAGTAGGTTTCTTAATGAGGGTGATGCATGGAAGGCACTACAGCAATGGTATCTAACCTTTTTATGATTACAGACACCCAATGGAATGCCTAATATGTGCCAATACCCCCTTCACTAGACTATCAAAATTATCACGAGTCCTATTGGGTATCTGTATGACTTCAAAAGATGTCAGTAACTTGGTTTTATTTTGCATATGGATAGCTAAGAACAAAATAGGTGACTGTTCAGAGATCAAGTCCCATACCCCCATTATTTGGTTCTCATACCCTCATTCCCCAGTTAAGAATAATAATAATAATCCATTATTTATTAAATTCTCTCCATTGGGAAGTGGAACAGAGCTCTTTCTCTGTAAGCCCTACGTGCTGTATGAGGGGACTAAAATGCCAGGAGCAAGTTGCTAGTAACCCCTTCTCCTGTATAAATTACTAAATTTAAAAAGAGAAACTTTAGTTTTTCTTTTTAGGTCACCCTGCCTCAGTGGCATATGGCCAGTCTGTTAAAAAAAAAAAATATTAAAGTCAGTCGGAGGGAGAACTAAACTCAAAAAGGTGATAAAGAAAGAATTTCACTCTGGGATGATTAAAAATCATAAAATGCTGAATAAATAAAAAAATTTTAGTATATACTTTGTGGGAATTTTTCTAATAAAGTTCAAGAAATGCTGCAGCCCTACAACCCAATAGTGAGGACTGCTGCAGCCCTACAATCTAACAGTGTGGGGATTGACGCAGCCCAACAGATCAAGAAATGCTGCAGCCCTACAACCCAACAGTCTGAGGACTGACATAGCCCCACTGCCCAACAGATCAAGAAATACCGCAGCCTTATAGCCCAACAGTGCGAGGACCGACAACCCAACAGATCAAGAAATACTGCAGCCCTACAACCCAACAATGCAAGGAAAAATACAGCCCAACAGTTCAAGAAATGCCACAGCCCTACAACCCAGCAGTGTCAGGACTACTGTTGCCCTACAACCCAATGGAATGAGGACCAACACAGCCCTACAACCTGGGTACTCCGTGACCTGGTAGACAACGCTTTTGCATCACAGTGTGTCCATGGTTTGATCCCCACCAAGGATTGAAACACTGGGCATGTTTCCTGACACCTGCTGTCGCCATTCACCTAGCAAACAAGTGGTACCTGGGTGTTAGTCAAATGGTCTGGGTGGAATCCTGGGGGAAAAGATTAAAGGACCAAAATGGAAATAAGATAGTCCTGGATGATGCGCTGACTTTCTTAGGTGGCTAATCCTCCGAGGTTAAAAATGCCAATTAAATCTTATCTTACATAGTGTGACTTGTTAATAGTACAAGTTAGACGGTACTAGGACCATTGCAGCCCTTCAAAACAAAGGTACTAAGACCGTCGCAGCCTTACAATATAACAGTATTAGCACTGTCGCAACCTTGCAATATAACGGTACTAGGATCGTCACAATTCTGCAACCCAAAGGTACTAGGGCTCCCAACTTTTCAACACAATAAGACTGTCACAACCCTACAACAACGGTACTAAGACCGTCACAACAACGGTACTAAGACCGTCACAACAACGGTACTAAGACCATCACAACTACGATACTAAGACCGTCACAACAACGGTACTAAGACCGTCACAACAACTGTACTAAGACCGTCGCAACAATGGTACTAAGACCGTCACAATGGTACTAAGACCGTCACAACAACGGTACTAAGACCGTCACAACAACTGTACTAAGACCGTCACAACAACGGTACTAAGACCATCACAATTCAAAATTCAAAATTCAAAATTCAAAGTTTATTCTATATAAAGAT